AAAGGCTTTCGACCGTCCACCACATTGTTGTCAGCGTGTGTCGTTTGTCCGAGTAGCCCGGACGAGGCCGGGCTGCCCTGCTGTCGCCTTGCAACCAGGTCGCACGTTGCCTCCCATGAAGGCAACATATCTGGTTTTGAAACCTGGGAGAAATTCGCTCGGTTAGCAGGAATCCCTTGGACAAGGGCAGTGGCCGGATCGGTCAAACCATATCTTGGCGAGGGAGACGTCCCAGGACCCGCGAGCGTCATGGACAGCATTGCCAGGGTCGTAAGTGTGATTTATAAGCAGTGGGGTATCGAGTGTAAGCTCAAAGACTTTTATCTTGCTATAGCAAGGCTACTTGATCTTGGGGCGATTGAACGCCCCGTGAATGTTCTGCATCCGGGAATATGGGAAAAATGCACAGCCACGCTGGCCGAGGACACGAAAACCTCAGGCAGTGGCAAAAGCCTTTAGGCGTGGGGCAAAGTAGAGAAAGCCCTGTGCAAAGCAATAGAAGAGCAGGAGACATGGAGTGTGGCGCGTTTGTGTTTATTAGTTAGACCCAAGCTCGGGGTGGGAGCGGGAACGCAGACCGCCCCTGAGGACGATCCGCCCGGGAGCGGAGATCCGGGGGGGCCCGGCGCGTCACCTTCCCCCTGAGATCAGAGCCCAACCCTTGCTGCGGAAACCTCCCGAAAAACCGCGGCTTCCCTGTCCGTCCCGCCGCCGCTGGTCAGCGACCCGTTGCCGGAGGTGCAGCAGCGCGCGGAATGCTTTCGGCAAGGGCTAGCAAGGGAAGCAAGAGACGCAGAAACCGCGGCTCGGGGGGAGATCCTAACCACGCTGCCACCTTACCCCTTTGAAAATGGCGCTGGCTGCCAAGGAGAGGGGCGGGGCACGGGCGGTCTCGGCGCGAAAACCCGGGAAGCGCACGATTTCAGGGACGCGCGTGCGCAGGAGAAAGCGGAGGAGAGCTGCAGAGGCCACGGAGCCAATCGACAGCCATGCCTGACGCCGCTACCATTTAAGAGAGAGACCTCCCCCTGAAGGAGGCAGGGCAAGTCTGGGGGGCGGGAGCAGTGCCACCCTCGCGGGGAGGAGCGAGCTCGGAGCCGGAGAAAAAGGCACCGAGCCCCGGAAATGCGCTGGCATTCGACTTCCAACTCGGAGTCCGGCAGCAGCTCCGCCAGCTCGGAAGAGCTGCCGGAAGCCGGCTGGGACTCCGAGACTGAGGAAACAGAGCCAACGCGATTTAAAACAAAACCGAGTAAAGCTTTAAGCCACACCGAAAAACAACCACAATATGGACCAGCCCAGTTTACTGACTGGGGAGAAATAAAAATAGCCTGTGCTGAATGGTCTCCAGCGGCTGTCATACAAGCCTTCCCGGTGAAGCTCACCGGCCCGGAGGGGAACCAACAAAGGGTATATACCCCGGTAAACCCAAAAGATGTCCAGTCAATTGTCAAAGCCATTGCAGAAAAAGGAATCAATTCGGCCATAGTCTCCACTTTAATAGACGGTCTTTTTAGTAATGACGACCTGCTTCCCTTTGATATCGAGCGAATAGGTCGCATGATACTTGATGGTGCAGGAATGATTGTGTTCAGACAGGAATGGGAGGATAATTGTAGGAAGCTATTAGTCCAAGCATCTGGCGCGAGGCAACCACTACACAGATCGAGCTTATCCAGACTGATGGGAAAGCACTATGATATGATCACGCCGCAGCAACAAGCCACGCAGATGCATGCTGAGGAGATCAGGGCGACCACTCGGGCTGCTAGAGAGGCTATTCGCGCAGCCCGTCGAGTCGTGGCCAAGCCGGCGCCATGGTCCACCGTGAGGCAGGCAAAGAGCGAAAGCTTCACACAGTTTGTGGATCGCCTGCAGGCAGCGGTAGACTCCTCAACCCTGCCGGCAGAGGCAAAAGGCCCCGTGGTAGCTGACTGCCTGCGCCAGCAGTGCAACTCTGTCACCAAGGATATCTTACACTCCCTGACAGCCGGAGCCAGCCTGGCTGACATGATCAGACATGTAGTAAGGGAAGAGCACCTGACACCCATTCAGGCAGCCGTCCACACCCTGACCAGTGCCATAGCATGCTTTAAGTGTGGTGAGGCAGGTCACATCGTGGTGAGCTGACTCCAGCCGGCACGGCAGCCCGCCGCAGCGCCTCCACCCCAAACACGCCCGCGGGGATCCTGCTGGGGCTGCGGGAGGAAAGGGCATCTTATTAAGGAATGCAGGTCCCGGCCCCAGGGAAATGGGACAGGGAGGGGGCGTGCGGGCCACACCCAGCCTCCTCCCGCTGCGAATACAAGGCGGCCCATCTATGCCAACCCCCAGTGGGGCGGGGAGCCCTTATACCCCATACACCCACAGGAGGCAGCCAGCTTTATACCCCCACCAGCGCCACAATTGCAGAGTCCTGCAACACAGCCTGCGGTACCTTCGTACCCACTACCACCGCAAGCAGCGCCTGTGCCGCAGGGTAAGCAGGGGACGCCCCAGAACGGGGCCCCTGGGTGGCCCTGGCCCTGAAAATAGGGAAGGAGCCCCCAAGGGTGTGGGGGACATGCCGCCTCTATGGCAGTCAAGACCCCCATGTAATAGGGCTTCAGTTTTGGGCAGAAACAGGAGCAGACTGCTCGATCTTGCCCCAAGCCCTGTGGCCCCGACACTGGCAATGCAAAGAGGTCCCCCCAGTGAACGGGGTGGGAGGGCCGTCCCGAGCTTGGAAAAGCACCCAATTGATAGCTATAACGCTGCATACAAAAAAGGGACCAGAACAAACAGTAGCAATCCACCCCTACATTTTGCAAAACTCTCACCCCTGATAGGAAGGGACATCCTTACTATGTTAGGAGTCAGGATTACAAATTTATAATGAGGGCCACTGCCGTACACCCACTGCTGCCAATCAAACTGACCTTCAGAATGAAATTAATGGAAAGCTGTGTGTTTCTGTTTGCAGGACATGCTCGTGGACCGTCCCCGTGACGCGTACACCCCTGCTCCAGAGGGAGACGACAGACCACCAAGCTGCCAGACAAAACCCGAGAGTCCCACACTGGTGAGACCCAGACATGCACAGTGTCTTTGTGCAATTTTGCTGTTGGGGCTTGTGGCCGGGGGGCAAGGCGACCCAGGCCACTACCCTCATCAGCCATTTAGGTAGGTCATGCAACATCTTTCAAGTAACAAGGTGTTCAAAGAAGTCACCACAGCGAACACCCCATCCTTCGTGTTCCACGTAGCCGACCTGTTTAGAAACGACCTTTCTAACCCTAAACAAAACCAAACCGAACCTCACTAACTCCTGTTGGCTTTGCTATGATGTTAAACCCCCTTTCTCCTAAGGGATTGTTTTAGACACCCCCTTCAGTTACTCCACAGCCAGTGCCCCCCACCAGTGCAGATGGGACACTCCTCGCAGAGGAATCACCTGTTGGGAGGGGTAGATAAATATGATTAAGAACCACAATAGTACAGCCAGGACGAATATAACGCCCCCTACTAGCTGGACAATAACCCTCACCTACAGAGGGGTCCAAAAGCCAAATGGACTGTTCCATCTCACCCCCAAGAATGTATGGTTCACCCCACACCTGTAACCCTCCCCTGAACCATCAAGTGCCTGTGACCCCATTGGCCCAGGTCCTGTTCCAGCCCACCTTGGAGCCCCCCTTGATAAGGGGTCTCCGGGGGGCCGGACGCCCTCTTGGATCTTCCCCTCTCCTCCTGGAACTTCATCCGGGAGTCCCTGCTCCCCTCTTTGTCTCTCCCCTCCCCCATCACCTCAGGCCCAGCCACGCAGCACGAGGCAGGGCCACAATGCATCCTGAATAAACCTGATCCTCCAAGAGCAACCACAGAGATCTCGCTTGTATCCGTCCATGGAATACAAATAAATGTCTTTACAGACTGGCGCCCAACTTCGGATACGAACCCACGGTGACCTGCAACCGCACCCGTCTGGATGCCTTTCTAGCTTTTCTACCTGTAGGACACCTTTCCATGGACAGTAACTAAATAACCAGGTATTTCCTCCCCATCGCTGTCGCGAGCACGGCATTTTGCTGCTAGGCAGCGCCGAAGCCGGAGCTCTTTAAAAAGTGCCGAGGCAATCCTCCAGCACCGCGACTCGTTACCTAGTAGCGAGCTTTTGGAGCCCTTCGAGGATTTCTGGCCGTTATTTCTCCGAGCACAGGCGATCGCCGCGATTCCACGGCGACCCAAGGCTTTGTGAGGAGACTTTCCCGTGGCACGCTGCCATGTGCAGAGAGCACAGGCGAGCACTGCTTTGCACTGCCCGCGCTGAAGCTCTGAGGGGGGTTTGGAGCTCCCGAGCACCAGAAGCCGTCCATGAGTGACGCCCGACCCTGGAGCTTTGAGGACACCCCTGCGGAGAGTCCTCAGCACCGACTGCAGTGAATGTCGGAACCTGACAGAGGACCCCGCTCCTGCGACACCGAGGTGAGCCACACTGGTTTAAAAATGGGACAATCCCACTCTGCATCTGATCGAGATCTCTAGAAGCAACTTAACCACCTTTTACGTAGCCATAACAGTACCTTGCCTAAGAAAGAGCTACGAAACCTCCTAGAATGGATCTTACTTAATTTCCCGAATGCCCAGTGCTCTCCTGTGTTTTTTGGAGACTTTTGGGAGTCCGTGGGACATCGACTTTTTAATGATATTTCACGGCGGGACCCCTACGCTTGCAAACTACTTCCTGCGTATAGGCCGTTAGCAGAGCTCTGCGCTTCTCAAAAGCCGCTGATAACAGCCAAACCGCTCCCTGCCGTGGCCCAACAATCCCCGCCGGGCCACCCGCCTCCCCTCCCGAGCTGCCTGAAATCTCTCCCTGCTGCGGCCACGCCTCCCCTCCCGAGCCCCCCGGAACCCGCCCTTGTGGCCACCTCTCCCCCCCCGAACCACTGCGCGGGCCCCGCCTCTCCCCCGCCCGGCCCCCCAGCATTGCCTGTCCCGGCTATGGTGGCTAATGTGAAAGACAATAGCATAGTTTTTGTTCATCAGGAAAAGTCCCAGGGATTGTGTAAGTCACAGGAAACAGTGGGGCAGGAGGGCAGGATGTACTGCTATTAGTAGATAGTGGAATTGAGAGATCTTTGAAAGCTGCGTTACCATATTTGGAGAAGTTATTGCAGGGTTAACGCTACCTCGGAGGAAAAAGAATAGGAGCTTTCCTCAAATGACCACCGGACAGCAGAAAAAAGACCCCTAGCAACACGCCGCGCAGATGCAGAGCACGTCGAGAATATCACAAAGTCCGGAACTGAAGGGGTATAAGAACTGAAAGACCGGGAGGTGCGGTGCGAGCCATTGGTGGGAGCAGAGGCTCCCCGGCCGCCCAGCGCTGCATTTGCCCGTACTGCTTGCTTGCTAAATTAATAAAATTCTCTTTATAAAGTGACACAAATTGGTCCCGTGTCATAATTTATAACAATATTTGGTGCCGTGACTCGGATAGAGAAATAGCCTGGTTGTTCTGGGACCCTCGGGAGGCGCCCCGCCTTTTTTTTGGCGGCCCGATTGTCCCAGACCTCCCGGTCTCTCTACCGACGAACCTAAATTAAGCTGCGGGCAAAGGAGAGCCGGTTAAAAGGAGAACCGGTTACCCCTGTAAACTTTGTGCACGAAGATCCGAGCGAAGACGCAGGACGCGTGAGTATAGGCCGGTTTCCCGCTCGGTTTGGGGTGGTTTTCCCGGAGTGTTGTGTATGAGAGGTCTCATAGAGACCAAGTGAGTGCGGACCCTCAGTAGTGCGGTTCCCAATACCCGAGAGGGCTTGGGCCACGAACCAGGGGAGCGTGTGTGTGAAAAATTGAGTGCACTCCGGAAGATGGGACAGAGGAAAAGCAAGCCCTCTGGTCCCATGGGTGGGGGAACCCCTGCAAAGCTTCCCCAGATTCCTGAGGATAGTTCTCTAGGAGTAATAATAAATAATTGGCATGCCTTTCCCAGTAGGGGAAAGGGAAAAGATAAAGCAAAAATGATCCACTATTTTAAGGAGGTTTTGGAAAAGTTTGGGCCCAAATTTGGGAGGTTTGGACCCAAATTTGGGGGATTTTAAAGAGGTTTTGGAGATTTGGAGCCGAGTTTGGAGGGTTCTGTCCCAAATCCAGGAGGTTCTGACCCAAATTCGGGGAGTTTTAAGGAGATTTTAGGGGGTTCTGACCCAAAACCAGGAGCTTCTGAGCCGAATCTGGTAGGTTCTGACCCAAATTTGGGGGTTTGGAGGCAGAATTTAAAGACTTGGACCTGAAATTTAGAGGTTTTGACACAAATCTGGGGGATTCTGACCCAAATCTGGGGAGTTGTGACCCAAATCTGGGGGGTATGGACCCAAAATTAGGAAGTTCTGACCCAAATCTGGGGGGATTTGACCCGGAGTTTGGGGGATTTTAAAGAGAAAAGGAGAATTATAAGGGAAATGGGGATGAGAACCTAGGATAATAAACATCAACAGGGACCATTAGCAGACACTAAAAGGCCCCTGCAAAATCCCCAATGGAATAACCAAGACCCGCAGCATAGGACCCATATGGACGACCTGCGGAACATAATCATACAGGGCATTAAGAGAGCCGTCCCTAGGGGACAGAATATGCAAAAAGCCTTTAAGGTGCAGGACGAGAGGAGGAGGCAGTGAGACAGGAGAAGGAGATTCTCTCAATCCCAGCCCTGAGGACTAAAAGGCAAGTAAGGCAATTATTGGGACTATTTGGGTACTGCAGGTAGTGGATAGGAAATTTCAGTTGAAAGATAAAACTTTTATATGTGTCATGGTTTGACGCTGGCACGATGCCAGCACCCCATGAAAATGCAATTTATCAATTAAATATTGTGAAATGCAATTAAGAACAGAGTAAAGCAGGCTAAACTTAAAATTAAAGGAAAAATTTATTATACTATTACTACTGTTACTATAAAAGGAAAAGAAAGAAAAGGAAAAAAATATACAAAATCTAAAATGAAAACTTTCTAAAATATTTCTCTTCTTATTACTTAACTCTACTAAAGTATAGTGAGACTCATTTGGATCTTTTATTAAATTTTTATCTTTTAAGATAATTAATACTGAGTTTATTGAGGAAGAGAGGAGTCCCCCTTGTATTATAGACTCTTAGGAAACACAGCTGCTACCTCTTGTGTTTTCATGTTATATGTGGCACTGCTCAGACACACTGGCTAATGTGACACACTCTTTTTTTTTTATGTTACAGTGTTCTTACTACTGTGCAGGGATAGAGATTGCTTATAGGGCTCTTTTAAGGATGCTTTGCTAAGGACTATTAGGAACAATAGTCTAGTGTTTTATTTCAGGACTATAATCTCTCTCATTTTCCCCTGGGGCCGAGGGTCTAAAAACAGAGATTGGTTTTTTTTTTGGTTTTTTTTTTTTTCTCTGAAGACGAAGGGCATCTTTACACTCTCTTTAGCTCTCTCCGTTTATTCTTGAACTGGTAGTTGCTGAAGGAAGTCTGTACCTTGTGATGACCGGAACCAGAGAGAGCTAATTCTCTTGGGAATTCTGCTTTTAACCCCTCTGTGTTCTCAGAGGCGTGTCTACTTTTAATTGGTTATTTTAAGTGTCAATATCTAAACTTGACTCTTGACTGGATTGACCTCTTCTTTCTTAAAAAAAAAAAAAAAAAAAAAAATTTTCTGTGTCAAACCATGACACTATGATAAATTGACAAAGTTTTTTGTCACAAATAGTCACAAGAAGATGAGGAACAATTAGAGGCCCTTAAAAGAGAATTGAGTAATGCACCTGTACTTAGCCTCCCTGATCTGAAGAGACCTTTTTATCTGTTTGTTAATGTAGATGGGGGGACGGCATATGGAATTTTGGCTCAAGATTGGGCTGGGAGTAAGAAACCAGTAGCCTACTTATCAAAGCTTCTGGATCCTGTTAGTCGTGGGTGGCCCACCTGTTTACAGGCAATAGTGGCAGCTGCTTTGCTGGTAGAAGAAACCGGTAAGATTACCTCTGGAAGCGAGTTAAGGGTAATGTCCCCACATAACATAAGGGGAGTATTGCAGCCGAAAGCAGAAAAATGGATTACAGATGCTAGGCTTTTGAAGTATGAAGGAATCCTAATTTCATCCCCTAAATTAACACTTGAGGCCACTGCCCTCCAAAATCCTGCACAGTTTCTGTATGGTGAGCCTTGCTCAGAATTAGCACATGATTGCCTCCAGCAAATAGAAGAACAAATAAAGATTAGACCAGACTTGGAGGGGGAAGAACTGGAAACAGGGGATAAGCTGTTTGTGGATGGAGCATCCAGGGTACTTGAAGGGAAAAAAAGGTCGGGATATGCTATAATTGATGGGAAAACCCTACAGGTAAAGGAATCTGGTCCCCTGAGCCCCAGCTGGTCTGCCCAGGCATGCGAATTGTATGCAGTATTAAGGGCTCTAAGATTATTAGAGGGAAAGGCGGGGACAATTTACACTGACTCAAAATATGCCTATGGTGTTGTGCACACTTTCGGGAAAATTTGGGAGGAAAGAGGTTTAATCAATTCACAGGGTAAAGGACTGCTGCATGATAAAACAGATTTTGCAGGCAATAAGGGGTCCAAAAGAGATAGCTATAGTGTACATACGGGGACACCAGAAGGGCATGGGAAACACAATCAGAGGAAATAATCTAGCTGACCAGGAGGCAAAAAGAGCAGCACTACTAACTTTAAAATATAAACCGATGAACATGCAACGGGAGAATTGTACCACCTGTGGGGGTGGTTTGGAATGTTTTTGTGAAAGCCCTGAGGAGAAATATTGCTGTTCACATGGCCCAAAATTCATTTGAACATTTACTGTTCAAGAAAAACAAAAATTGGACTGAATGGGGGTATGGGAAAAAGAGGAAGGTAAATGGATATTACCTGATGGTCGGGAGGTGTTGCCAAAAGCAATGGCATTGAGAGTATTACAGGCAATGCACGGCAAAACGCACTGGGGAACTCAAGCACTAATAGACCAATTTGCTATTAAAGATATGTGTATAGGGGTATATAACCTGGCCAAGCAGGTAACCAGTCGCTGTCTAACCTGCTTAAAGGTAAATAAGCAGCAGCAAAGAGAGAGAGTGGTGGGTGGTCAGAGCTGGTTCACAGACCCTTTTCTCACGTACAGGTGGATTTCACAGTTACCTAAAATAGGAAGGTATAAGTACTTGCTAGTCATAGTGGATCACCTCACCCACTATGTGGAAGCCTTCCCCACAGCAAGGGCAACTGCACATGTTGTAGTAAAAATAATACTGGAAGAGGTTATCCCCAGATATGGTATATTGGTGGTGGTAGACTCAGACCAGGGCCCTCACTTCACCTCGAAGGTGACAAAGGACATTTTTAATACTCTGAGAATACAGTGGAAACATCACACCCCATGGCACCCACAAAGTTCCGGAAGGGTGGAAAGGATGAATGGGGAAATTAAGAAACAATTTACTAAGTTATGTCATGGGTAAAATGCTTACCCCTCTAGCACTGTTGAACATCCGTACCCAACCTCCACTGATGTGGGGGTTTCACCCTTTGAGATGCTGTTTGGGATGCCATATGACATTGAGGCCCCCATGAACCACCTATGTATAGAAAATTATCAAATCAACACCTACATCACACAGATAATGAATAGGAGAGAGGAGCTCCAGAAAAAGGGGCTGTTAGTGCAGAGACCACCTTTGGACCTCCCCATTCACAAAATAAAGCCTGGGGATAAAGTACTTATTAAAACTTGGAAAGAGACCTGCCTGACCTCACGTTGGGAAGGTCCGTTTGTTGTTTTGCTTACCACAGAAACTGCTATCAGAACAGCTGAGAAGGGGTGGACTCATGCGAGCCACGTCAAAGGTCCAGTCACCACAGACGACCACTGGAAAGTGACCAGCCAGCCTGGGGACTTGAAGGTTACCATTAAGAGAAACTGATGAACTCTGTATACATCATTCAAGTCGGTCACAAAGGGGAGCAAGAGGGATATAATTACCTGCTTGTTAGTGATTATTTGATAATTTGTAATAAGGTAAACTGTGATTGTTATCCTTTTGTATGCTTTGCATGTAAAGTTTGCCAAGAACGGTGGGGAGTCCAGTGCCGAAGGGGGAGGCTGCCCACTGGGGTTTGTACAGAATGTTACACGACTGAACGAGAATTAACCGAAGCTGTGTTGAAATTAGGGGAGTGGGAAATCAGTGGATTCCCTTTGAATCTGAGGAAAATTTACACCAGAGGGGTGCATCCAGAAAACTTTTGTTTCCACTCTAACGAGCCCCCTCCATTTGTTGCCCAAATTATAAAAGAGTGTTGTCGGAGGGAACTAAAGGGGGTCCCGTGTGACCCACCCCCGGTCAAGGATAAGAACTGGGAACAGTACAAAGTTAGGCAGGAGCAGGGGGAATGGGCGCTCAGGCGAGTACCGCTGCTGCCGAGAAGATGGTTTACCCCGCGGCTCGAAGCACCCGAGTCGGCGGGCGAGGCAGAGGGGAAAGAGCCAGGCCCCCAAAAATAGAATAATGCTGAAATGTTCCAACTATTGCCAGCCAAGTACTAAGTTCCTCCAGAAGACCAGTCTGATTACCCCCGAGACACCAACAGGGCAACAAACCCAAAAGGGGAAAATAAGACATTATATAGTAAATGCAAGGTCAGGACTCCACCCTTATTGACAAATTACTGGTATTACAATTTTTTTTTTTACCCTATACTAAGGAGAGGGCTCCCAAGCTTTACATCAACCTTTTAAGTGGACACTAACCCGAGTGGATGGTGTGGGAATTCAGAACCAGATAACATCCAGATCCCCTAGTTTTAACCCACAGTTATGTGAACTAGCCCCTATAGAGCCTTGTTTGGATAGAAACGGATTTTATATGTGCCCAGCATCAAACCCAGGGAAAGGGTATTGCAACTACCCTGGAGAATATTTCTGTGGGCACTGGGGCTGTGAAACAATAGCTTCAGATTGGTCAGTAGCAGGAGATAAATTCCTTAAAGTATCATGGAGGCCTTATGGATATAAACCTCTGCAGAAGGATTCCAGTGGTAAAATTGTGAACTCAGAGAACTGTCATTATTAAGGAAAGGCTAGAAGCATCACACCTGATGCTGATTAGAGCAAAATATGAGTCAATACCAGAAAACCTAGAAATGGAAGAGATCCTAGTTATAAGCCACCAAGAATTACAAAGGTTTGATGAACAAAATGATGAAAAGACAAAAGGGGGGATTTGTGAAAGACAATAGCATAGTTTTTGTTCATCAGGAAAAGTCCCAGGGATTGTGTAAGTCACAGGAAACAGTGGGGCAGGAGGGCAGGATGTACTGCTATTAGTAGATAGTGGAATTGAGAGATCTTTGAAAGCTGCGTTACCATATTTGGAGAAGTTATTGCAGGGTTAACGCTACCTCGGAGGAAAAAGAATAGGAGCTTTCCTCAAATGACCACCGGACAGCAGAAAAAAGACCCCTAGCAACACGCCGCGCAGATGCAGAGCACGTCGAGAATATCACAAAGTCCGGAACTGAAGGGGTATAAGAACTGAAAGACCGGGAGGTGCGGTGCGAGCCATTGGTGGGAGCAGAGGCTCCCCGGCCGCCCAGCGCTGCATTTGCCCGTACTGCTTGCTTGCTAAATTAATAAAATTCTCTTTATAAAGTGACACAAATTGGTCCCGTGTCATAATTTATAACAGCTAATATAGCCAAACGTTTACAAAATCAGACAATGGCTATTTTGCAGGCACAATCTCAAACGTCAGCTGCGATTTTGCAGGCGCTGCACGCGCTCGCCGCCGCGGCTGACCCCCCGAACCGCGCGGAAACCCCCTGGCCCGGCGACCATGACGGCCAGGCGCCGGCTCCTGGCCAGGCGGCCCCCACTCCTGCGGCCACGCCCTCCCTCCCGCGCGGCCCAGACCCCGCCCCTGCTTCCACCGCTTCCCCCCCGAGCCGCCCGGACCCCGCCCCCGCGGCCACGAACGCCGTACCGCCCGCGTTTCCCGGAGATGCCCCGGGACCCAGCGCCGTGCCCCTGCCGCCCCCCGGCAGACGCAAACCCGGCGTTCCCACCCCCCCCACCCCCCCGCGGCGCCGCAGCCAATGCCTCTGGCTGCAGAGCCCCGAAACCCCCCGCCGCCGGCACCACTTCCTGGTTTGCCGACCTTATCACCATATCCCTCCGCATCCCTCCCTCCGCCGGATCTACAGCCCGCCGCAGCACCCAAAGCCACAGCTACAGAATATCCTTCCGCAAATGCCGGCTCTTCACAAATGCCGCTGCCGACGAGCTTCACCCCTCCAACTCTTCTGCCTCAGCTAACAGCAAGCAGCACGCCACTACAGCTTGACGCAGACACCATGCAGCTAGAGGGTGAAGGAAACAATGTGACAGCAGCTTCGACAAACAAAGGACAGTCAGAGAACTATTTTACCCCTGCAAACCCTAACATTTCTATCCCAATCTCACCAAATTCTCAGCAAAGTGCTAACAATCTTCAACTGAAAAACTGCCCTGAAATCAAATGTGATAGCCGCAAAGAGGACAACCTGCATCCCCAAGCCATGCCAGTGGTACTCAGCCAGCGAACAGCTGTCCCCTCTCAGGAGGTGAAAGAAGTCCTAACAGTACTCAAGGACAGTGGTATCTCCTTTTCCTATTTTAAACCACTCTTAAAAGGTACCATAGAAAAAACACGCCAAACCTTAAAATGCATTTTAAATCTAAAGAAGGGGGGAGTAGATCAGGCTACACCTCAAAAGAGGTTGAATAAGGCTCTATATGTTCACAATTTTCTAAATAGCTCTGCAGGAGAGCCTCGCCCCCCCATTTATGGACATTTCCTGAACACCAAAAGAGTAAAAATAAAAGGGCACCCCCCCAGCTTTACTCAAAATCTTAGATTCAGGACATATACAAGGTCCACACAGGCTTCTTCTAACGTGGGGAAAAGGTTTTGCTTGTGTTTCTACAGGTCAAGGACTCAAGTGGGTCCCAGGAAAGAATGTGAAGCCTTACCATGCACCGAAATCCGCTGGCACCCCCACACCAGACAGTACTTCTGCAAGTACAAGCCAAGAAGCCAGCACCCAGACCTGAACCACGATGCGTCATCGAGAGAAAAAGGGACTTTTTATCGTTTATATGCATACATGTTACTTTTGTTCTTCTGTTTCAGTTTTTGTATTGAAGTTTTACTTGTAATTCAACCAAAGACAAATGCCTGGGTAGCTTTAGCCAAGCCTGCAAGCTCTAAGACCACCTATATATCTAACACAAACCCTAACAAAACTTTTTCAACCCATTTAATTATAAGACCTTTTCCAAAAAATTCTGACAATGCCTCCCCTACTATAATCAGTGATTTGATAACAATTAGGCCATCTCAGCTACACAGTTTACTTAATGGTTTGAGCCTTGCACCTTAGCTAAAGGAACTCTGTAAAATAAGCTTGACTGTTCCAATAGTAATAAGTATAGTTTTAGTAGCAATACCCTGTACACCTCCAAGTGTGCAGAAAATAGTTAAGTCAATATTTAGTATTTCAAATGGTTCAGTGAAAACAGGGGAGATGTTGGGAAGGGTAGATAAATATGATTAAGAACCACAATAGTACAGCCAGGACGAATATAACGCCCCCTACTAGCTGGACAATAACCCTCACCTACAGAGGGGTCCAAAAGCCAAATGGACTGTTCCATCTCACCCCCCAGAATGTATGGTTCACCCCACACCTGTAACCCTCCCCTGAACCATCAAGTGCCTGTGACCCCATTGGCCCAGGTCCTGTTCCAGCCCACCTTGGAGCCCCCCTTGATAAGGGGTCTCCAGGGGGCCGGACGCCCTCTTGGATCTTCCCCTCTCCTCCTGGAACTTCATCCGGGAGTCCCTGCTCCCCTCTTTGTCTCTCCCCTCCCCCATCACCTCAGGCCCAGCCACGTGCTGTGTCTAGCAGCTCGAGGCAACGCCTTTCTGCATCCTGAATAAACCTGATCCCCCAAGAGCAACCTCAGAGATCTCGCTTGTATCTGTCCGTGGAATACCAAATAAACGTCTTTACAATCACCCTGAGTCAAATCAAAGGACAGGGCAGATGTTTTGGCAATGCAACTTTAGCAAAGCAGAAAGGCAACTTCTGCACTAAAGTTGTCAAGCCCGACAGAAAAACCAATAAGTGGGTGGTCCCATCCGCATCTGGGATGTGGGTTTGCCAGCGATCCGGAGTGAGTCCTTGTGTGTTCCTTGCCAAATTTATTAACTCTATCGACTTCTGTGTCCAAGTTCTGATTGTTTCTAGGGTCCTGTACCAATCAGACGAAGAGACATACCACCTTCTCGAGGAACCTGACAGACTCCACAAAAGAGAAATAATCACAGGTATAACTATCGCAATGCTGCTTGGCCTGGGAGCAGCTGGCACAGCCACGGGTGTCTCAGCCATCGCAACCCAACAGAACGGACTCTCTCAGCTGCAAATGACAATCGATGAAGACCTGCAGAGGATCGAGAAATCCATCTCCTATCTAGAGAAATCAGTCTCTTCGCTTACAGAAGTAGTTTTACAAAATAGGCGAGGACTGGACCTCTTGTTCATGCAACAAGGAGGACTGTGTGCAGCCTTGAAAGAGGAATGCTGCTTTTATGCAGATCATACGGGAGTTGTTAAAGACTCCATGGCAGAACTCCGAGATAGACTGGCTCAGAGAAAGAGAGACAGGGAAACCCAACAGAGCTGGTTTGAATCCTGGTTCAATCAATCACTTTGGCTCACCACTTTAATTTCTGCCTTGGTAAGTCCACTGGAAATACTGCTTTTAGCTGTTACCATAGGGCAATGCCTGCTGAACAAAGTAGTCTCATTTGTTCAGGCCCATCTAGAACGGGCAAACATTCTGTTCATAGGCCAGCAACAAATGCTGTAAACCAAAAACTGCATACACAATCAGTCGCAAAAGCCTTCGAAACACGCCTTGCAAAAATTACTCAGGTTTACCAAACCACCCTTTCCTTACCAAGTTACAAGTTTGTACCTCACTCCAGTGCCTATATCTACGACTACCTCATTTTAGTTATGATAGGGAGGGGGGAGATGTGGTAGATAGGGACAGGCGATCGGAAGCTCTCGGGATGTGACGGAACGAAAGACCCTTCCCCCTTTCTCCCTGCTTCACGTTATCTATTACTCCCAGAAAATGTAACCACACCTAACCCAGTAGTTTTCCACTCCCGACTAACCCTAGAGAGACTACAACCCCCCTCTGACGTAGCAAAGTCCACCAAGACTATTTAAACCCATGAGATAAGATAATAAATGCATTTGACCGTCCACCACATTGTTGTCAGCGTGTGTCGTTAGTCCGAGTAGCCTGGACGAGGCAGAGCTGCCGTGCTGTCGCCTTGCAATCAGGTCGCATGTTGCATCCCCTGAAGGCAACACTCTCTGACTTGGATTAGGAAGTTTAGTGTCCCTTCTGCAGTACAGTCGAACGTCCTGCCGAGCCTTACACTCCAACTCTGGCTAAGTCCCCTCACCTGAGGCTCCTACTAGGCTTAGGAAGCTTGGTCTCCCTGACAAGGAAAGGTCAAATGTCCTGCCGATACTTAAACTCAAAATCCGGCCAAGTCCCTTCGCCAGCCTCTTACATGGCTTAGGAAGCTCTGTGTCCCTTCCGAGGTAAGGTCGAACATCCTGCTGAGCTTTATACTTGAACTCCAGCAAAGTCCCCTCGCCTGACTTTCCTACTAGGCTTAGGAAGCTTGCTCTTCCTCCCAAGGTAAGGTCGAATGCTCTGCTCAGCCAAGATCCATCCCGATTGCTGATCCCTTTGCTCACCAAAGATCCATCCCCATTGCTCATCTAAGTTCTCACCCCAGATCTATCCCCATTCCAATGCTGTGTTCACCCCAGGCCCAACCCCATTCCCATAATTTTTTCACCCCAGATCCATCCCGATTGCTGATCCCTGGGCTCAGCCAAGATCCATCGCCTTTCCCATCCCGTTGGCTCACTCCAGATACATGACCATTCCAATCCCTGTGCACAGCCCAAATAAATCCCCATTGCTGATTCCTGTGCTCAACCCAGATCCATCCCCATAGCTTGTCCGGGTGCTCACCCAAGATCCATCCCCATTCCCATCCCTGCGCTCACACCATATCCATCCCCATTCCCATCCCTTAGCTCACCCCAGATCCTTTACCATTCCCACACCTGTTCTACCCCCTTATCCATCTCCATTGCAGATCCCTCTGCTAACCCCAAATCCATCCCCAATGCTCATCCATATGCTCACCCCAGATCCATCCCCATTGCTGATCCCTATCCTCACCCAAGATCCATCCCTATTCCTGATTCCTGTGCTCACCACACATCCATTCCTATTGCCATCCATATGCTCACCCCCGATCCATCCCCATTGCT